CACGCTGCGCTTTTCAAGGGCATGGGCCCGGCCATGGCCCGTGCGTTCCCGGCCAACGCCGCGTGCTTCCTCGGCATGGAGTTCTCCAAGAAGCTGCTCACGGCCATGGGCCTCAACTTTTAGATTTAGTAGTTATAGAGTGGTAGTACGAATATGACAGCCGTTCTCGTGCGCACAACGGGTTTACGTTGGGGTTCAACGTCCAACGCTAGCATTGAGCCGTTGGTCGCTGCTGAAGTAGACTGTCGTTCGTTGGCCTGCAGCATAGCACTGGGATCATGCAATAGCTCCTTTCATACACATAGGCTGGATGAACTAGAGAACCCCAGACAAGTATTCCCCCTTCGAGGCTTGAGATTAGAGACTGCAACGCTTCTCCGCGTTGAAGCCGATTTTCGAAGCGTAGCGCATCCGGTCCTCCGGATAAAGATTGTCGAAGCTGCACGATCTTAGAGTTGAAGTGTCGTCGTCGACGACGTCGTGGCAGCATGCTTCGCAGCCGGAGTCTCGTGGCCATGCTCGTGCTATCGTCGCTCCTTTTTGGGACCGACGCCAGTCGGCGCTACGCTGTCCAAAACGGCCGCATTCGCGAGCTGCCGATTTTTGCCGATGAAACCGAGTGGATCGCCCATGTCGCCACCAACCTCAACGTGCCTGCGTCAGCACTCTCGACGTACGTTCTCTTGTGGTGCACGTACTCAACCGCACTCATGACACGCGTAGCGTCACCGAGATGAAGCACGAGCACGTGTCCATCGATGCGATCTGGGTGCACCAGCTCTTCAAGGAGCGCTCCATCGAGAACGCCCGCATCGCGACGCAGCGGCCCGTGCACACGTACCTTTTTCTCTTGTCCACCACAGCTCATTTCCCGCTTTGAGCTGTAGAGGGTACCGCGCGAGCCTAGCGATGCTGAGTGCGCACTCGATCTTTGTCATTGGGCGCGACGGCACTTTGTTTGAGCGCTACTTCAACGGCGTCGTATGGGTGTACATGCGTCACGTGAGCGCCACCGAGTCGGTGTACGTCAAGCGGTTGGCTTCGACCGGCGGCATTGCCTACACGCTGAGCGCCACGCCGCATTTGGCGCCGATGGTGGCGGTCACCCGTATCGCGCACAACAGGTTTCAGAGCATTCTTGTGGCGGACGCGAGCGGACGGCTACTGCAGCGGGACGTGAGCGACAATCGACAGCTGCGCTGGGTCGACATCTCGCCGCCCGACGCCAATGTCTTCTCGACCGGCGTTCTCTCACATGATGGACGCTTCTACGTTGCGACTGAGAACGGGAAGGTCTTTCGCTGGGACGTGGCATCTTCGTCCTTGCCGCTGTGGCACCGCGAAGACTTGGACGTCAACGACCCGTCCGACGCGATCGTGACCATCGTCGGCGCCTCGACAACGTCGACGCTCTTTGTGCTCACGGCGCTCGGCCGCCTCCTCGAATTCGCACTCGAGCGTGGCGAGCGCCAGTTTGTCGACCACAGTGCAGCGATTAGCTTCCACATGGAAGCGAGTTGGGGCTTTGTACACACAGCCACGAGCGTCTTTGGGCTCAGCCCGACCATGGGGCTTGTCGAGTTCAACAAGACAACGTCCGGCTGGCGCGTCCACGGCCACCCGCCGGACGGGCACGTGCTCGGCGGCCTCGGCGGCAACGACCCGAGCATGCTTCTCGTCGTAGCGACCGACAAGTCCCTCTGGCAGTGCAATGCGCACGAGGTCGATGCGATCGCCAAGTGGATACACCACGGAGGCCACGCGGTGCACCCGGTGCCGCCCATTTCGCTGGGAAGCGACGACATTTTGCTGCAGCTCGATGACGGGCGTCTCGGGCGGCGCTGGCGGCCGACGCGACGCGACGCGTACGCGCGAATGCCGGTCCTGCACGATTGGCAGTGGGACGTGTACGACGTGCCCGAAGGCACTGCGTCACCATGCGGCTACTGCTCGAACGAACCGGGCACCGAAGACAACTGCATTCAAGGCACTCCCGTTCACGACGAGTAGCACTGGTCATTATACTACGATCTTATATCTCAGAGTGGCATATCATTCACACGGACGCTCTTGACATTGGCCAGTTTAGTTAGTACATGACTGAACTCGATCTACTTTGAGCGCCTGGTTTGTGCTAGTGCAGTCTGTCCCGCCTCCACGGTCTCGACAACCAAGGAATGTATTTCTGCCAGTCGCCATCTCGCAGAGTGACGAATGAGAAACGTATGCAGTCGTGTAGTAGAGTGTATGGGTTACGTCGGTGGCTATTAGAGCACCATGTCGGCGTAGCCCATGCCTGGCGTGCGCAGGTAGGGCACGAGGGCCTCGCCAAACGTGTCTTGCAGCGTATCGAGCGTCTGCTTGAAATCGCTCGACGTCGCCGCGTTGGTTTGCAGGGATAAATACTGCCCGGCGGCATGCTACGCACGAAAAATTATTGCAATAATTGAAATTGACAATCCAGAACCGTACCACAAGGATGCCATGGCAGTTTTGCGCTTCGAGGCGCTGCACTTGGTTGGCATTCGACGGCGCAAAACACGGCGTGAGCACTGCGAGGTACGCGGCGAGGTGCGGGAAGAGCAGCCGCTCCATGACCAGCGGCCCGAGGTACATGAGCCCTACATGCATCTTTCGTCAAGACACCACGCAAAGCGAGCAGACAACATACCGACAATCGCACCATAGTGCGTCGGGAACGGACGGGACGCGTCGAGAAAGGCGCCGTGGAAGGTCTTGGAGACGCGGGCCTGGATGCTGTTGTACGAGTTGCCGAACCTAGTGAGGTATCGTTGATGAGACATGGTGCGAGCGAGGAGGCAGCACCGCGAGCAAATCTCGGCCATGAGACGCGCGCCGTAGTTGCGCACAGCCCAGTGGTCTTCGGCGGGGTTGGCACACAGGTCCTTGTTGAGAATGCACGTCAAAATCGCTGGAATCATCTGCTGCAGCTATAGATGCAAGGATCATGAGCATGAGGCAAGGAACGAGAGGGAAGCATATGTACGTAGAGCTCGATGCGGAGACCGACGTTGTGGAGGAGCGCGCGTGCCATGCGCAGCACGGACGAGAGGAGTGCGAGGTCGTGGTTGCTGTGCTTGACTTCTTCGTAAATGAACCGCGAAAAGTATGGCATGAGCTGGTGGAGACCCGGGTCATGCGACAAGCTCGTGTACGCAGCCTGCTGGCGCGCAAAGTCGTCGCTCTTGACTGCGTCCGTGACCTTGGTGTAGTAGAGCTGCATCTCGTCCGTCAAAACGTGCTTGACGAGCGGCTTGCGGACGACGTCGCCCGTGAAGACCGGGTCCGAAATCGCCGTCGCCGACCGCGCGTGGGCATTCGTGTCAAGCACGTCGTTCTCGGGGATCTGCGGCTGGACACCCTCGACGGCCAGCCAGTGCATGCTAACGCTGGGCACGAGTGGACACAGCGGAAAGGGCGCGTTGAGGATGTCGGCGACCGCGACCTCGGGGTCCTCGGGCACAAAGAGGCCCGGGCTAATGCGGCGGTAGCTCACGCCGTCGCCGCCGCCATAGCCGTACAAGACCTACACATGCATCTTCATCATGATCGCCGGCGAATATGGCGTCTACCTCCATGTTGCGCGCGCTCAGCGCATGGTTGATGTCCCGCGTCGTGAGCGTCTCGCGGCGCGCATGCGTCTGGAACTTGACCGCGTCCTGGATGATCTCGCGGAGGCGAAACTCGACCTCGGGCGCGAGGTCGGCCGCGCAGCCCGCGCGGAGGCTGTCCAGCCCGAGGCTCTGCGCGATGACCGCGATCGACTCTTCCCGGACGACGCTCATACTATTTGCCACACGTTGGTTTGTATTGGCAACCGGACAAATATGGTATTTTAATCCATTTCGTTTTTGCATCTTTGACTTTGTATATGCAATTGTTTTCACGCAATAAAATACCAGCGGCCAGCCGAGGAAGCCCAGCAGCAGCAGCATGAGCACCGTCAGCAACAAGTCGTTCGAGGTCAACCTCCAGGGCGAGGTTCCGTACAAGGACTACACGGCCTTCGAGGAGCGCATCCGCGGCCTCTGCGGCGACGACACGGAGAAGGTAGGCCATGCAGGCTAGGCGGCGACGAGGACCTCATCAGCATGTAGGAGCAATTCTCGTACAAGGAGTATGTCTACAACTTTGACGCGCAGAGCCCGCAAGGTACATGCGATAGCATGAGGTTGGTCGATCATGGCGTGTGGCTAGGCGTGCCCAACTACGAGGTCCGCGCGCGCCACGTGATCTACGGCTCGTGCACGTTTACGGGCGCGGCCGTCGAAGCCACGTCCAAGGCAGGCCAGAAATGGTGCTTCCTCCATGACGAGAATGGCATGGCTTACGCAGTATGCATAGGGAGCTGCGCTACATTGGCAAGTGGGAGCGCAAGAAGCCGACCGATCAGACGGGCCGCGCCGCGCAGAGCGTCGCGTACCGCAGCCAAGTCGCTGTCTCGGCCAGCGACAACGTGCGCACCTTCCTCTCGACGCTCGGGTTCCGGTACGAGCCGCCTCTTCGTCTCGAACATATCTTCTCACATGCATCGATAGCCATAGCTTTCGGTACATGCGGTCGGGCACGCGCTGGAACTTTCCCAATGGCATCATGGTCGAAGCGACGCGCATGAAGCCCGTACGCATCCTCCTCGTATCCCCATTCGCATCTTGCTCATCGTCGTACCGCGTAGCTCGAGAAGGACGAGCAAGATGACTTTCCGCTCGAAAACATGCAGGTCGACGCGCTTCTCGTCGAGGTCTCGGCGCTCACGACCGACGACAAGATCGAAGAGGTCGCGCAAAAGATCCGCCGGCTCGCGATCGATCTCGACCCGTACCGTCTCCCTCTCTTGCTAGGCGTCATCGTCGTCGTAGGTACTTTATCGAGCGGCCCGTCGAAGGCAAGGAAGTGTCCCATCATACCGCGATCCTTGCTGGTGAGATGCGCAACATGAAGAAGCAAAAGGTTCGCCGGTAATCCAAGCATGCACCATCGTATCTACGATGATCTCTATCGCGTGAGCCGTCACGACAGCGCCAAGTCGCGTGATGGGACCTGGCCGACGCCACGGATCCGCAGCATGGACGGGAAGAGGTCAATGGTCGCATACGCATTCTCTCGGGCTTCGAGCGCGGCTTGGAAGACAACGTAGTGGACGCCGGATGCATCGCGCGTGTAGCCATTCTCATGGCAGTGGCCGCTGAGGACGGCCTTGACGCTAGCATGGGCGTGCAGCAGCCCAAGCAACTCGTCGTAGTTCCAGAGGAGGCACGCCGGGTGGCATGAGTCTGGGTGCAGCGGCACGTGGGAGAAGAGCACGACGTGCTGGCTCTGAGCGTCGGCCGCTGCAAGCAGCGCGTCGAGCCACTGGAGCTGGCGCGATGCAACGCCACCGTTGTACTCGACAAAGCGCCTTGCCGGGCCGTCGAGATTGTCGGACGAATTGAGATCCGCGTTGGGATTGCGCTGACGCAAAAACTAGTCAACCAAGGGCTTGATACTCGAGGGGAGAAGAAGGAAACGAGGGACGTGGTACCTCTTTGCACGCACTGTGCTCGGCCGACCCCGGGGGGCTGCCAAGCACCGAGTTGTCGTAAGGATCCAGCACCGCAAAGACGTACGTCGGCGCGTCGGGGATCGTAAACGAGTAGTAGGCGACCGTGGTCGCGGGCGGCGGCAGCGACGAGACTAGCGCATGGGGCGACGACGTTCGGTGCACGAGGAGACGGAGGTACTCGTCCCGCGTAAAGTTGTACAGCTCGTGGTTCCCAATGCAGTGGTGGACGGGCCCGACGCGGTCCTGGAAGCGCTCCAAGGTGCCACGGAGCAGCGCGAGCGCCGATTGCGACTGACCGAGTGCAACGTTCTTGCCGTCGAGAAGGTCGCCGAGGTTGACGACGAAGCGCAGTGGGCAGGTCGTGGCCTCGAGCAGCCAGGCGTCGACCGCGGCCTCGAGGTGGCGCCGGGCGTCGCGGTAGTAGCGCTTCGACGTCTTTGTGTAGTTCCATGCGTCGTCCACGTCAGCATGTTGGACGTCGGCGATGGCCCTAGCAAGCATCTTGATCGTCTTCCTGCGTCGGCGCATGCATCGTACCCGAAGGAAGCGAGCGGCTCCGTCATCTGCTGCGTCCTGCTCCAAATATACGCCGGTCACAGCGCCAATACGTAACTCGATTTGTCGTATGCTAAACTATTACATACAACATCCTACATATTATTTTAATACATGCCAATATGAAGCGTTGACATCAATTGGTGTCGTAAAAGCGACGTAAATTCCAAATGCGTTTGTGCCCATCATTCCATTAAAACGCACAGAACGTACTGTCATAAAGAAAAAAGGACCGCCGGAACAGTAGCGTATACTTGAAAAACGTCTAAAAAACGTCATATATGCGACGGCATGCCCATAGAAAGTATCAATATGACCAGCATCATCAGAGTTGATTGGACAAGATGAGCGTCGAGCTCGAGATCGATGAGAGCAAGGTGTGGAGCCCGGAGGAGCGGCAGGCGTACCTCGACCAGATCCCCGAGATGTCGCTCTTCGAGGACCACATCCTCGAGGGCGACGTGATGGTCGACGCCATGATGGCGCTCGTCGAGGAAGGCGAGACGGCCGAGACGCTCGCGCTCAAGTTCAAGAACAAGGGCAACAAGATGTTTGCCGACGCGAAAAAGTCCATGAACGCTCTCTACTACGAGTATGCGATCAAAGAGTACAGCGACGCGCTCGGCTACGGCCTCAAGGCGCTCGCAGCCCCGACGCCGGCGGACGAGCTCGCGGCCATGGACCTCGACGAACCCATTGTCATGTCGACGCTCATGACAACGATCCTCTCGAACCGCGCGGCCGCCCACCTCTCGCTCAAGAACTATGGCAGCTGCCGCTCGGACGCGGCGCGCGCGCTCCAGCACGACAGCAAGCACCTCAAGTCCATCTACCGCGGTGCGAAAGCGTCGGCGATGCTCAAGAAGCCGGTGGATACGCTGCGCTACTGCAAGGTGGGCTTGGCCCTCGATCCGAGTAACAAGGAGCTCCTGGTGCTGCAGCGCGACGGCGAGAAGATGCTCGACGAGCAGCGGGTGCAGGCTGAGCTCGACGCGTTCAAGGCCAAGAAGGCGCAGGCGATGGTCGAGAAGTACCGCAAGCTCTGCACGCTCCGAAAGATCCGCGTCGGTCGCGGTATCCTCGACGACGCGCGTGTCAAGGACTTTGAGGGCAAGGCCGACTTGGACGAAGAAGGTGTCATGTGCTGGCCCGTCCTCTTGCTCTACGACGAGTATGGCCAGTCGGACTTCATCCAGTCGTTTGGCGAGCAAGACATGTTCATCGAGCATCTCGCCAACATGTTTCCGGAGGAAGGACCGTTCTGCTTCTGGGACAAGCGCCATGACTACGTAGCATCCCAGCTCCAAGTGTACGTGGCGGCCGACGTCGTCGTACCGTTTGCAACCCAAGACGCTTGGCACGTTGCGCTGAGCGGTGCGAAAGAGTCGGATGCCGTCGAGTCGGCGCGCCTCGACGCCGACGAAAAGCACAGCTACAAGCACAAGGTGTGGCTGCGCGTCTCGCCGTTCTGCAAGCTCTACCGCCTCTTGAGCCACCATCAGTACGTTGTGCCCGGCATCCCCGTCATCAACATTATGGTGCGCGGCTCCAAGCAAGAAGCGTCGTTCTTGGAGGCGATCGAACACCGCGTCGTCAACCTCGAAGAGCGCTAAGGAATCAATACGAGGCGACATTTTGTATTTGGAAAATTCTCCCTTTTGCTGTCAAAGTTGGAGCTCGATTGAATCACTCAAACTCAAACAATGCGCAAATGTCAAGGCGGACTGTACGCGCCACCGTCAAACGCGACAAGAGCGACAAGGACAAGCCGACAATCTATTTCAAAGCCCGCACGCGGCCTTTCGCGCCTATCACGATTAACGCGTCCCGAGCTTTCGACATGGAACCGATTGCCGTGGCAAACCCGGAGAGCCCTAACCCCACGACAACCCTAACCCTTTCGAATCGACTGTCTGCCACTCCGCGTACCCACACCCTCTTTGCGCCGTATAGTATATACAAACATGCTCTCGTGTTGTCACTGGCCTCCTTGTGCTTCCTCTGTGGCCCCATGGCATCACGGCCAACGCCGTGTCGGGATGCAATGGAGCATGGAGCGTGGTTTGTGTTGAGGGGTACTGTACCATTGGCTCGTGGTTCTGGCAAGCTTTGGAAGCGAAATCGTGACGCTCTCTCCGGGATTCGAACCCAGATCTACCTGGTTGGACTAGCAAACCAATGCCTCTTACATGTAAACCACTACATGTAGACTAAAAGAAGTCGACAAGAACCGCGCCCCCGGACTACGGGCAGCTTGAGCTTCGTAACGAGCTGCGTCGAGTTCAAGTTGACGGGCGCCGCATCTCGGGTAAAGTGTCGTTCTTCCCGTGGCCTAAGAATACATGGGCAGCTCTTCGAATAGCGCTGGCCGTACTATTTGGGGTCCTTGAAGTAGCTGATGTCGGCACAGGCGTGCAGCCGAGCTCAGCGCAAGGTGGCGAAATGCTGAGGTGTGGGATGCGAGCGTGCGAATTCGATCCTGTTTGTCCGCCGAGAACGGCTTCGCGGTGTCCATTCCTGACTTTGTAGCGAGCCGCTTGTCGGTCCCAATGGTCAATTGGCGCAAGACAAAAGTGGTCTTTGGCCCAAAGCCCGTTCATAATGCATTTGCCACCTATTTTTCACGTGCATAGAATATACGTCCAGTGCCGTATTCATACGTTTCGTCATAGCTTTGGATTCCCACTTTTTCACGTCCTGTGAAAAACAGTGACGTCGCTGAGCGTGTTTTTTTACGAAATTCTAACGTACAACTTTATAGCACTTGTTTTGAGCTAACGGCCACGGACATTGAAGGTATTTTTGCACCAACGGCGACGTTGCACGAGTCGCTTCATGACGATACAAGTTTGCAAATGGAGTGGAGCGAATTCGACAAGGATTAGCCACTTGATGCAGGCCATATCACTCGATAATGGAGATTTGCGATGATGACGCTCTATCCTTAGTACTTTTAGCCGAATTATATGCCGCACGATACACGAGATGAATGTCTCTCTGGCATGCTATGTACGTATGGTTCTTGGGGTCAACGTTTTGGCTCGTAGGACGCATTGGCGCGCATACTAGTAGCCATTCGACGGGTAGAACGCAGAGGTAGAGCGTCTCAGTCTTGATGGATGCTAGAATGAGCATCTTGAGCATCAACATCATGATGGTCTCGCATCGCTGGCAATGCGGGGATCACACATGCGTACCTTCTCTCGGGCGGCCATGTAGGGGGTTGCAGCCACGCGTGCCTAGCCCATGCGATGGATGTGCGCTTCTCGTAGCTAAACGCACTAGCTGCAGTGAGACTGAGCAAGAACAGCTAGTCACAAATGTAGCAGCGTGCATTGGCGATGGAAAGTTGTGGGGACAAAACTGCTGCGATAACAGGGTGCCACGTCAGGGGATATTAACGTCAACAAATCTCTTCTCGTAGGAAACTACGTTTTCACACGGGCAATCAATGCCTTGAAATCATTTTCGGCCATTGGCTTTTGAACCAGCAAGGCCGAGCGTGGCAGCCAGCACGAGGAGAGCGCAAAAGCGCGCCGCTTCGAGCCCCTTTGTCAAGACGCAGCCTCGCAGCTCGCGCTTCTCCGGCGCGCGATACAAACTCCAAGTACACGCAGCGCGGCGATGGCTTGAACGCCTTTACAGCCCTCGGCGGCGCGAGTGATCTCGTTGCCTTAGAAAACGAAATCGCATGTCCCTCTACGACTCGCTCTACCACCAGAAGCGCGCTGCAAAGCTCGCCGAAGCCAAGTTGGCGGCCGAAGATGCTCTCATGCGTAAGCCAAGCCCGACGGCGGCCACGAACCAAGGTTCGCGTGCCACCGCGTTCGGGCGCAGCACGACCCCGACAATTGTCCCCCAGCGTGCGACGACAACTGTCCCGGTGACTGCGCGATCGATCGCGCAGTCGAGCGTGCGATCGACGATTCGGTCGACGCCAACGCCCGCCACGACGGCGGTGCAACCTCTGACGGCAAGCAGCCGCAGCTCAACCACCGCCGCGCAGCGTCGCACACCGGAGACGAAAGTTGCGACTGCGCCGTCAAGTGCCACCACGGATGTCACGCCGGCTAGCGCGGCATCGACGACCACGACTGAGGCGATCCTCGGTCAGCTGTGTTCGGAAGTTGCAACTCTCCAAGAGCAGGTCGTCGATCTCCAAGCCAGCCTCGACGCGTCACGGCCAAGACACGCAGCTCCGAGCTTGTCCTTGCCCACGCCCAGCACGACGCTGATCTCGAGACGCTTGGAGCTCAACTTCAAGCTTCGCGGGATGCCGTTGCGCATCTTGGGGGGTCGCTTGAAGCTTCGGAGCATGCGGCAGCTACCGGTGCCTCCGACCTCGACGCTGGACGGTCCGATCTCGCCGCTGCTCGGTCGCAGCACGACGCCGACGTCGAGTGACTGGACGCCGATGTCAAGCGACTGGAAGCCAGCCTCGAGGAAACGGCACGGCATTGTAAATAGCAGCCAATAGACTCACCGAATCCGTTCTTATACCTACCTCGCCAGGGTTCGTCAGCCGAGGTGGAGCGATGCGGTGAGTCAAGATTGCCGACGCGCACGTATCTAAGCGCAAACACTGAGTGCGTCCTCACCGCCTTGGCTTCTTTGTGAGCATCTTCTCACTTCTCAACGTTTCCTCCATGGTAGTCTCTCCACTACTGTTACTCCTCTGTAGGTGCGACCTCTGACGTAACCACTGGCGGCGTACCTCTCCGAGTACTTGCCATGGCAAGGCACGCTTACGACACCAGAGACGTTTGCTAACTACACGGAATTCAACACCGCGTACCTCGCAAGGCACCAGTAACGCTACTCGAATACGACGCTGCCGGCGGGAACGGTCGACGCGTTTGATGAGGCCAGGAACACTCAAGTGACGCGATCGCTACTTCGCTTGCATCACCCGCCAATGGACACAGCAGCGTGTTCCTCCAGTGCACTGCTGGGACTCCCAGGACTTGTCTCGTACACCGAGTAACAAATCGAACTGCTCTGCCGAACGGTTACAACCAATGCGACGACGCCATCCCAAGAAGGCTTGTGCTCGAATTCGCTTCTTTGCTCGTTTATGTTTGGCCGGTCATGTCTCTGGGTCGTGCTTGGCGATGACATTGCATCGCCGCTCGCTCGTGTGGATTCAGTATCGACAGCTTTAGCGACACTGTACTACGTCATCGAGGCCACGCGGGATCCACTGGTAATCTGGCTCATGTTGATCTATCGCATTTGGACGACGCTCTTTGCGGGGCTCTGGGCTCAGAACTACCGGCACTGCGCTCAGCTCGAATCGAAATTGCGCCGGTGTGGGCACCGCGTCAAAATGCCGTCAGGCAACTGGACGTACGAGCTCGTCCTTGGGGACCCAACTGCGATTGTGTTACTCGATTCAATCGTCGCCACGCTCTACTGCCTGGATATTTGGGCTAGTAGCGCAAGCTTTGGCGCGATGCACGTTCAGTCTGGCGCCAACTTTGTGTTGTCTCTGCTCCTCGGGATGCTGTATCTAGCGCGCACGGTAGCACTGTGGTCTTGATGTGTACGTGGCCTTTTATGTCTACTTCTGTAGGTCTGGTTTGCGTACTGGGGTCTCGGCATTGTCTCGTTCGGACTCCAGCGTTGGCGAAAAGAACATTGCTCTTCGGAAGTCGACTCAATGCTCGTAGCGATCGCCGTGGCTATCTACGGGCCGATCATGGCATTCATCAACAGCCATTGCGTGGTGATCGGGCGCGTGGAGCACTACATTTTTCCTGTCTCGTACCCGAGAACTAACGTTGA